GGGGGGGGGGGGGGGGGGTCGGCTAAACATCTGCAGTCCCCCCTTAAAATAATCCTGGTTATGCCCCCGTAGTGTTGTTGCCACAATTTCTGATGTAGGCTGATGTGTGCGTACCAGTGCATGTGCTTGTTTGTAAGCGAGGATATGTATAGGTCATTTACCTTCAATAAGTTGGAGGCAAAAGCACTGACACCAGTAGCACCGGAAACCAAGCAGGTGAGCGTTGCTTGTGCCTTAGGAAATAACGTGGACACCTGGACGTCAGTTATAGCCAACTGGAGACCTCCAAGCAGGTGAAATAGAGCTCCAGGGTATAACAGCCACTCTGTCCCTATAAGATGAAAACAATTATCATTTCTTTATTGCAAATTGACAAACATCAAGTCCTTTTGGTATTTTTAAATATAATGTTTATAGCGCATAAAGGGGCCATTCAGAATAGAAAATCCGAGTACTAACTGATCCGCCGACTAAATATGGGAGACCCCTCTTCAAAAGCGATGTCTCTATAATTCCATGATGGTTTCCCCATGCACCGTCGATGCAGGAGCCTAGCAATTAAACCTCGGAGGCGAGATTAAATCCGTAAAGGCGGGGCGACCATCGGGAATCAGCGGTATCGTTTTTTAAGTGTGGTCGGCCACATTTAATCGGCGGATCACTTAGTACTCGGGTCATTTATTCTGAATAGGACCAAAGATAATCTAATTCGTTGAACATGAAGGGGCCTATCGGTGCGCTTCGGACCGCCGTTGTATAACTTTTATATATGTAACTACCTTGTCGCCATATTTTTCCAAGTTCACGACAAAGTTTAGCTCGAACAAAACATTTAACGCTTCATACCTGAATGGTGTTTTTATTTTAATTTCAACAAAATTTACTTTTCTCTTTATTGAGGTTAATGCGTACAGTGCACCTGTTTAGTGAATGACCTTCACATTGGTGTCTTTTCAGCGCCAATTACACATTAACCTTATTCTACAGACTGTGGCAGCACGTTTTTTTTAATTTAAAAAACTTACTGAATGTATAAGTTAGCGTAGGACCTATTATCAAGTTAGTATATATTCAAGAAAGGTTTCGTTTTGTATCCTACCTCTCTCCGCTAACGCCATCAGAAAGAATCCACCAGCGCAAAGGCATCTTAAAGCAAGAATTAAACAAATCTTACATGTATTGCTTCCAATTTAATGTCTATTAAAATTGTCGCCTTGTACTCATGAAACGTTTTCATATCATTTCCAAAAATGTTCATAAAGAAAAAGAGGGAGCACAAAAAGTCAATTATATAGTTTTCCACTATATCGTGACAGTCAAGTTTAATACACATGGACACGCATAGAAACCCATATAGACCTGACGATGATCCTGAAAAGAGTAATATTGCAATATTGACAGCGAGGCTTAAATGCCAGTTTTTCGCACCTTTCGCTGACCTGCCATTGCTTTAATAGGAAGATCACCCTGAAATAAAACGTCATACATTTGTCTACCATAGCACGGTGTCAAACCGAATATAGATAACCAAGAAATATGAAAAGTTATTCAGGCTCATAGTGTCTAGCGTAATAAAGTCATATTGCTGCTCTGACCACAGTGTACTTACATGCTTAGGATCCTCTCACAAACGGTCCCACAGTGATCATAGATATATCCAAGCACGGAGAAAGATACCAAACCAACAATGGCGACAGCGTAAATCAGGTTTAGAAGCTCTTCTTGCTCAGTGCAACTCGGGCGTCTTCGGCTGCTTCGTTGGTGCAGTTACTAGTATCTAGACCGTTACAATCAGAACTATTGGTTACAAAATTAAAACAACAACGATCACCGTAAAATCCTTCCTCTACGAATTTGAACACAAGCGCTGGCCATCCAAAGACCGTGACAGAATACAGTGCAGTCTCTAAGATACCCAGAACGGTACAAAAATGTTTCCAATACGTATTTGCCATGTTTGCTGTCCGCTTTCACCTTGGCCCCTGTGTCAACAGTCGCAACAGTCGCTATTGTTATGCACTAGTTACTCCAATAATTTGAGTCACTAATGTGTTTTTCTTCTTCAAACGTCCATTAGGAATAAAGACATAAATATAACGGTATCAAGACAATTCCCCCCCGGACAATCCTCCACCCGGACGATTCCCCCCTTATAATATATATATATACAGCTTTGGTCAAAAAGGTTGTCCCACCCCCATTTCCATGTACTTTTATTTACAAATGATCACCTCATTGCTGTGAACTGTTAGAAATAGTGCTTTTTATTACGGTTACCGTATCTAACATGATTAATGGTTAAAAAAAATACAAAATAGTGGTGAAAATATACACATTTTATACCATTTAGTAAAATTTATAAGAGGTACCCCCTCAAATCGACTGTTTCACTGTGACTTCTACAGATGTAGAGAAATGTCTATAAAATTGAAAAGACGCCATCAAATGTCACCAAATTCACACACAATTATCATTAGGGTGTGCTCGTTAAAGATCACGCGCTTAACAGCGTGTGCGACTACCGCGTACTGCAATTATCTCCTGTAGACGGCGCGTCAAGACTTCAAGATGGGTAACAATTCTGTTATGTGGCATATTGTCCCATTCATCCTAAAGAGCGTGGAGTAATTGGTCAAGTTTATTTAGGGATTGGTTTTCCTCTGCAATGCACATTCCAATTTATGCCACAGGTGCTCAGTAGGATTAATATCAGGACTCAAAGACGGTTGTCCCATCCTCAGAGCCCTGTGTTTCTGCAACAAATCGTTTGCCAGACGGGAGCTGTGAGCAAGTGCGTTGTCACAATGAAGCCAGTAGCATCCCTGAAGTCACCTCTTGCAAATGGAGTGAGATTTCTGTTGAGAATGTTACATTAAAATGCCCCTGTTACGTTTTGTTCCAAAAGAAACAATGTACTAATACCATGGGCTTGGAAAGTTCTCCAAATGCGGATTGATCTAACACCTCAGGCGATATTACCCTACACACACCCTTCCAAGAGGCATTTTTTAACATGTCTATGGACCCTCTTTGGCCATGGATGATAATTTGATTCTGCATCAAAATCGACTTCCTTCCAGTGATGGATGGTCAGGTTCAGGTGCCTGTGGGATCACTGAACGTAGCATTCTCAGCTGATATCTCATTCCATCTTCAAGAACTGACTTTGGGGTTAACTCCAGGCTTTATCATGACTGCACACTTGCTCACACCTCTCGCCTGGCAAGTGTTTGTCGAAGAAACACAATGGTCTAAGGATGGAACCACCATCTTTGAGCCCTGATATTAAACTTACTAATCAACTGTGACATGAATTGGAGTGTGCAATGCAAAGGAGAACCAACCCCATAAAAACGTGGACCAACTCCCCCAACTTGTTTAAGAAGAATGGGACAATATCCCGCATAACAGAATTGTAACCCGTGTTGAAGGCTTGTCGCCCCGTCTACAGGAGATAATTGCAGTACGCGGTAGACGCACACGCTGTTAGGCACGTGATCTTTGACGAGCACGCCCTAATGCTAATTGTGTGTGAATTTGGTGACATTTGATGGCGTCTTTTCAATTTTATAGACATTTCTTTACATTTGTAGAAGTCACAGTGAAACAGTCGATTTGAGGGGGTACCTCTTATAAATTTTACTAAATGGTATAAAATATGTATATTTTCACCACTATTTTGTATTTTTTAAACCATTAATCATGTTAGACACGGTATCCGTAATTTAAAGCACTATTTCTAACAATTTACAGCTGTAAGGTGATCATTTGTAAATAAAAGTACATGGAAATGGGGGTGGGACAACCTTTTTGACCAATGCTGTATATGAACACAAGCGCTGGCCATATATATATTAGTCATAGGAAAATGAATGGGTTCGCGATTCGTGGGTAATTCTTGAGAATTGACAAACTAACGGCCTGATGCCGATAGACAGCAACGCTGTGCTATGCTTCAAGCAACTCCTGACCAAATATCGCTAGGTTTTTTTAAAAAAATTCAGTTGTACACACGTACTAAGAAGTTTGCCGTATATTGCCAAGCCTACCCTCAGCAAAACGCAAATATTTTCAGTAATAGTGATTTTTGACGGTAGATTCACTCAGAAACAAAGGCATATTAATTCGTTGCCGATAGCACCAGCAGATAGCAGTACCATACAAAGTCTGATTAAAAACTTTCATGGCTATTGAAGATTTTTTACCACTGTACAATGGAGTCCAAAAAGAGCACTTGGCACAAATGTAAAACTGCCCAGTGCAAGGCCAAGAATTCAATCAGTATTTTCAATCATATTATCGGATTCTACGTAAATTGACTATCATCATTTAATAATTATGCAAAATTCTTCTTTCAGATTGCTATTTATTTAAATTTTTAATGCTGCAACTGTTCCAAAATAAGCTTGTAGTAAAGGAAAAATGCAAATAAGAAATGGAAGACCAATTTTACCCACAGTATTCAATTATTTGAATATAAAAAGAATAAGATCACGATTTAACAAATTAAAATAATCTTTCATGAATTCTTCCATGAATAACATATTAAACAAATATAAAAGTTATAAATCAGTGGTAATGGCTTATTCTGGAATATATGACCTCTGCACATCATCAGTACCTGACTTGATACAGTATAGTTACTACTTGGATACAGAGTTAGATTTAATAATGTAATAATATGGACAATATATATTATAATAATAATAAACTTCTCTGCACATATCAGACGCTTGTTACCATGAACTAACACTACTTGACAATGAGCTGAGCACTTATCACAGAGTCTGTGTGCGATGCCATTCTTGTGCTGTGATTGGTTAGTTGAGTCACGTAAAGCCCTACTGTTGCGCCCTCGCGTATCGCGTGAATGCTGCACATTTCTGGCCATGCGCCATATCGTACGCCCTGTAGAAATTAAAGAAGAAAATATCCTGGCCTGGGTTTATAATGGGCACTGCTTTGTGATAGCGCTGCATTTTGATTTATTAATCTTGTTTACAAGTAAACACATAAGTATATATGTCCAGGGACAGTTTAGAGTAGAAATAACATTTAGACCTTCTCTGTGTATAAAATATAGTCAGGACAGTTGATAAATTCACTTCGTTGTAAGACAGGCCTAATGGATTTACATCACGCAAGAATCTTCTTCATCTAATCCTATTAAGTCCGTTGACCTCGCCAGATGACGGCAGTGGAGAAATCCTGACTCTAAGATCACTCAAATGTACGTAGAGAGACAGTTCTTCATCTAAACCTATTAATATTAAGTCCGTTGACCTCGGTTCTAGATGAAGGCGGTGGAAAGATCCTGTCTCTAAGATCAGTCAGGTATACGTAGAGAGGCAGTACCCCGGGGAGACTATTTCTGCCTGTGTGCCAGACCTGTAGTCGGTGTGCAAGAAATAAAGAATGTGCACGTAACACCAGCGCTGGCTGCTGTGATCGGTATCAGTCACCTCAGAAATCGGTAACCAACGTCGTCTACAAACATATCCCATCGGGGAAAATTCGTGTAAATAATTTCAGAACTTCAATAAATCAATAAATATCATCAGCACCTAAATTACCGCCTTTGGTTGCTCTGGCAACACATTTATCCAACACCAAAGCAGTCAGGATCGCCCAGAGCAGCGAACCCTTTGGGGAGCAATTTTATTATGAATCATACACTGCACATAACACGGCATCAAGTTAAAAGACAGAAGTTAGCCAATTTCTTTAGGCTGGTGCATATCTAACAAGTCAATATACATACATAGTTTGAGGATCGGATGAATATAAACATAGCTAAACATAGCAGCTCAGTTGTGTAGCAATATATATAGTTTGAAGAAAGGAGGAATACAGACATATGAGCTCGACAGTGTAGCGATGTCTGTAGGTTTTGGTAGACAGAAGGTATATCGATCCTCCGGCCACGAAGTAATATTAATAGTATACTGTGGCTACATCTATAGCCCAGTGGCAAAACTGGTATCATGCGACCATTTGTAAAGTTCCCTTGTCTGGTTGTGATCTTATTGAGGCGTGTAACTGTAACACAAGAAGAGAAAAAGATGCAGCCAGCTGGCGGTGAAGCATATTGCCCAGAACAGCATTCCGACCTGTAATAAAAAGTACCAGGCGAGTTGTCATCATTTTAGTAACCTTCTTTGAATCTAAGTTTTCAATCGGTTATATTTTTTTGTGAAAATGAATATTATTTTCAAATAGTCGATAGCCAAATGTAAGTTTGGAAAAGTCCACTATGGTTCTTGTGTAATGATTTCACCACGCATTAACTCCTGTAACCCAGTATTAATTTCTTTCAATATTACCTGATGTAATAGAATGCGACTGCTCTACATACGTACCAAGCCTTTTAATTCCAAGCTGTGTTTATACCAGGAAAATACTGGTAGTTCAATAAAGGCGAAAACATACACAATGCTTAATTGTGCTCCCAATGCTTTTCCGAAATGTTCCTTTGGAAACCTATAATTTTAATGGTTTAATGACAGATCTACATGGAGGGGTATCGTCTCTACGGTTTACATGTATGTAGCGTTTTACATGTACTTTAGATATATTTTTTATCACAAATTAAGTCTGTAAGTGCTAGGTGCTCGTTACATCTGTGGAGCTAGCAGGTTGAAATTATTGCATGCACATATGTTTAATATTTAGCAAAATTAAATCTACATGTACTTACGCGGTGGTCATGTATGTCAAATGTAAGGCATGGCTCCCGGTTCTCAACAAAGAGTAAAACAAAATGGCCACAACATGTAGCTCGATAATGGATAAGCAACAGGCTATGAATACAATGAATCCCGTCAATGATGTAAGGAAAAATGGAAGGATGACGCATGGCTCTTTGTCTGAAACATATAATGACATCAGAACATGAATCATTTTTGCACTTTTTTGATACTATTAAACCATATGTATTATCAAGATCTTGAAAACCAAAGAACCTTTATCTAGTACAAAAGCGTTGCATGACAGCTAGCTCCTGACAACGATGGGCCACACGGACTCTGTTAATAGTATGCATGCCATTTGACAAAACGCAGCGACTGTTAGGGCTACTTCTTTCTATAATATTTTGGAGGAATAATTTGGCTAAATGCATAGATACCATGCTAGTTCCATAAAAAGAACAGAAGACGTTACTGCCTGTATGATCGCGGGAGAAGCAACATGCAGAAAACTGTTATCACCTATCGTGGCTTTATCAGCAACATGTCTGTCAAACTTCAAACCAGTCAGCAAGGCCCAGATCAGAGAACCCACTTGGAACCAGGAATACACGTCCGTATACGCACTTACTGTAATATAATTTTGATTCGATAAGATATTCTTTCAGTTGATTCTTGTGAAGAGGTGGTTAAACATTTTAGGCAACAGAGAAAAAATGAGATAGCGGGAGAGAGAGAGAGAGAGAGAGGGAGAGACAGAGAGAAAGAGAGAGAAAGAGAGCCAAAGGGAGAGAGAAATTAAAATATATAGGTCAAAATTTATTACCTTTGTTTTTGACATTGTTTTCGTTGTAATTGACCATCGCGTAAAAAATGCCTTGATATGTAATGATGAAGGTTTCCTGACACAAATACCAAAGCATCAACATCCAAAATGTAGGGTTTTTGAGAATCACTAGCGTGCCAGGTAGTGAACTACTGTTAGTGCTTTTGGCATCTTTGCGTACTGAGTTTTCTCCTTTGCACGCCATCTGCTTACTTCCGTCAACACGTGTTTCTTTCTGATCGGTTTTATTCTTATGTTGATAGCTGGGGAATTTATTAGCAGCCTGGTGACCGTCACTTCCAACCTTGTTTTCCCTGGCTTCTTCCCCTGTTGCCTTAGAGTTGCTTGTGAAAACTGCTATGACCTTTTTTGTGGAATGAACACCAGAGGTTTGTGGGTATACGGCACGAACGTAGTTCGTGTTTGGTCTGATGCTTACGTCATCGGTCGTGTATGCTGAATTTGACCAACCGTTCTCCAAAACAAAATTATCTTTCAACGTGTCATTTGCCACAGGTACGTACAGGTCAGTTTGCTTGGCTTTTTTACAAGTGCTGTTGCTCAGTTTACGGGATATATTGGTGTCGCTGTGTCGTTTGCGTATCTCGAAGCAACAGGCTATGTCAATGTCGTTGCCGTCTTCATCTTGTCTAGGTGGAAGGACGATTGTGTTGACAGAGGAGAGAAGAAGTATGATGCCGGTAAAGGTGAACATGTACGTTTTGTACGTCACTCCGGTCTGGTAGGCCAACTAGAATTAAATTTATTTTTCGTGAAATTGGAAAGCATAGACGTGCACCGATATGCATAATAAAAGGTATCATTCTATGATACCACCCAAGGTATTGTTAATGTTTTTTACCATTAGGAAGATTGTTTTTGTTTTCCGTGAATATAGTTATAACTGGCTAAATTTAAGTTGTTACTTAAGTTATTTAATCCAACAAAACAACATTTGCATAAGTGCTTCAGGCTTCAAAATGCTCATTAGACGATTAGCACACAGTTATTCACATACGTAATTGAATGCACTACCTTTAACAAGATAGGAGTTAAACCACTGACTTCTGCACCGGCAATAAGACAAATGAGTGTTGCCTTTAGCTTAGGAAATAGTCCGGCCACTTGGATGTCAGTAATAGCCAATTGGAGTCCCCCGAGCTGGTGGAATACAGCCCCAGGGAATAACAGCCATTCTCTTCCTATCAAAATTTAAAAAAAAAAATAGATCTTACGTTTTCATGCGGCCATGTAGGATTTTATATGCATCTTTGTGTGTTCTTTTCAGGACTGATAGCATGACGCTTCACACGCTGCAAGGAAATGCACGGTGAAAAATAAACTCTGTCGCAATTTTGTCCCCAAATATATTTTAGTATATCGTTTACATACACATACTGGACAAAAGAAGTGTCACCCCCTAACTATGAGTAATAAAAGAAGGCATATTTTGGGTACTTATAATGTCTGGTCTACTTATAATGTGACCAATGAGTATAAACCGCTATACTATGGAATTTTATTGTTGGTCTTGTAGATGTACAGCAAATGCTATCCCTGTCTTCCTCCAATATGGCATGATACAGGTAATTATCTAACGGTTATAGGTGCAAGTTATTAACCTTAAGAGGCGGGATATAAGCAATGTCAGAATATCGATACAATTGAATTGTTCAGTCAGAACCGTGCAGAGGGTCTGGTTTCGGTATAGAAACACTGGATCAAGAGACAAATTGCCTCTAACGGGTTGCCTCTAATGGGTCATAAGAATGTGTCTGTGATAATTGGTAGGCGTCGGTTACATGCTCATAGAGTGTACAGCAGGGTAGCAAGACTGAAACCTCTTATATCGTTACAAAATAGGCAACGTAGAGTGAACTAGGGTCAACAGGATCTGGAACTGAGTGTCGCTTTGGTCTGACCTCTGATGACAGACGGGTACGATGCTGCCGAACTGCTGGTAAAGCATTTGAACCACATGCACTGAATTTTCGCACCCGGAGCAGCATATTCATCATGGTGTGGGGCTGTATCAGCACCCATGGCGTGGGCGAATTGATAATGGTTGATGGAAACATGAATCACTAGAAATATATCGATGTTTTGGAGTCAGGCTTGCTCACTTATATTACTAACATGTTTGGTGACAGGAATTATCCATTTGTTCACCAGGATGACAATGCTCCTTGTTACAGGCCCAGAGCAGTTGATGTTAGGTTTGACCAACAGGACATTCGCAGGGTGGCGTGGCCTGCCCAGAGTCCGGATGCAAACATAATAGAAAATCTGTGGAATGATATGTCAAAACTTTTTACAAATGCCCGTCAACCAGCAAAGAAACTCTGTTATATTCAGTGTTTCATGCTTGGGCCAGCATAAGCCCTGAACGCATCAGACAATTATATGAATCCTTGCTTCGTAGACTGGCACCTATTATTAGGTCACGTGGCTATGCCACTACCAGTAAGTACTAATTTTGGACTTAAAACTGCATATTTTGGTAGAATGTATATTTTGTTCTCATTTTGTGATCTTTTGGGTTGACACTTCTATTGTCCAGTCTGTGTACTTAATAAGATGAAGAGGTTATATGGTTAAATAAATTAATCGTATAATAGTAAGCATAAAGGTGTAAATATACACTGCATTCTGGGAGACGATTCCTACCACACAATATTATGATAAAAGGGTTAGGGGAAATTATTCTCGTTCTCCTAGCTCATTGCTTGAGCGCTAATGTAGCATTAATGTAATCTTATATATAGGCATCATAGGTAGGGTTTTAATGCTGAATACTAAAAGTATCAAGAATATAAGACGTACCCCCAAATCCTATTTACCTGGTATGTTTTTCCGATTTCATCATTACTGACATGGGGTGTATTTTACACATGTGGCGAGTATGACATTTACAGTATATATAGCAAGAATCAGTTTCGTAACTTAAACTTACCTCTCTCAGCTAATGCCATCAGCAAAAATCCACCGGCGCACATGCATCTTAAAGAAAATGAAAAGATTTTAAAAATCGTTACAGCATCTATTGAACTACATGTAATCACTCTGTAACGATTTCCATAAGATTCTTTTTAGGCTTTTTGTGATTGGTGATTTATCCCTTTAGTTCGGCAAGTAATTTTCGTCAGCTGCACATTGGTCAATAATACAGCCATTCCAGGAAAGGGTTCTAATTACCAAAATGCTTACCGTAGCTTATAAGTAATTAAGGGGTCAAGAATATTAATGAAAAAGTTCAAAACTCATGAATCTACTTTAATTTCCTATTAACTAAAAGATATGGTCTACCAAAACAATTTTCTAAAGCTTGTAGTCGCAGTGTTACACGAGTGACGTAATATCAGCATTTTGGGGCTAAAATTGTCATTTTTTTATTCAAGGTTTTCACTTAAACAAAAAGCCCTATAAACACAATTAAAAGAGCTATCTAAAGGCTAGCACAAAAACCAGTAGACTGATTCAGGATTTTCTCTTATTATTTTTACTTTTGATTTTATTTCGATAAAACGCGAATTTCACGAAATATATATGAACCCTCCACTTTCAGTATTAATGACTTCAAAAATAAATCAAAAATAAGGTCAATCAAAAATTGAAGGTGCAGCTGACTAGAAAATATACTGAAACACAACCACATCAAATTTCATGTCAATCTGACAGTTAAATAATGAGATATGGGGGGGGGGGTGAAGATTAGACTATGTCATCAACAAAGCTGAGAAATCGCTCGTAAACTATTCGACACAGGTAATTGGGCTAATTTAACAAATAATTGCACCTCCACCTTACCTGTTATTATCTAATTGATCGGGAAGGTCTATACACCATTATTTACTAAAATTAGGTTGTTTGTTTCTATCTAGATGCCAGAAAATCTTACTTTTGTGCGCAAACTTATTCGCCCCACGAAAGCCGCTCTTCCATGAGAAATGATTGACAGCTGAGTAGGCCTACCTACTTTCGTTGCTTTGCAACGGAGGCGGAGCCTAAAGGCTGCCACGCGTGCCAGTCAGGACAGGTAGAAAAACTCGTCCAAATGTATATTTTAGTCCGTGTTGCAAAAATATAACATAATTCAGTATTAGATCCAATATTGATTATTTCTAACATATAAAAAACCAAAAAAATCGAGTTTTAGACGTATTTGCAATATCCTTGACGCCTTAAGGCGTGTGGGATTAAAAACATTAGGCTTTTATTTCGGGATACCATGTGTTCCACGTAAAACTACATGAAAAAAAAAAATAATTCACACAGTAGCGCTCACCTTAACTGGAACCCACAACATCTATAAGTCACAAAATGCATAGTTTCTATAACCTCATTCAGTAACTATACTGGTGCCTTGTGAAACATAGGAATATTAGGGTGGAGATAACACTGGTTTTCAACTTTGGTTCAAGGAACCTTTTATGCCACTTTACTATTTTGTATTTCAGTGGAGAGAGAGAGAGAGAAACTGGGTGGGTAAAGACAGGGCCGATCAGCCACGCTAATTGTTGTTCTGTAAAGTACCCACAGTATACTTACATAGATAGGATTCTCACACAAACCGTCCCACAGTGATCATAGATATAACCAAGGGCTAAGACAGGCACAAAACCGACCATGGCAACCGTGTAAACTAGGTTCAGCATGTCTTCCTGCTCAGTGCACTTTTGGACGAGGCTGTCTTCGGCCGTTTCTCGTGTGTAATTACCGTGAAGCGTACGAGCATGATCTGCGGTGCTACCATCAACTCCAGAATCAAAATGGCAGAGAGAATAGTAAAACTTTTCCTCTATGAATATATACACATATGCTGGCCACCCAAAGAACGTTGCTGAGCAGAGAGCAGTCTCTAAGATAGCAAGGAAGGCACAGTATGGTTTCCAACACGTGGGTTTGGCCATGTCGTCCAACGCAAATTGGATGCTAGTGAGTAAATATCCTAACTTGGAATGCACCCAATTTACTTATAGTTATTTAGTCACTTGAAAATAAGATGTACGTATCATTCGATATCTTTGCAATACGGTTGTATCTAGCATGGCGTGTGGTCTATTTCACACTACCCTTTTCGGATAGCTATTTAGTCTTACCGTGTATAATATGTTAATTGGGTCACTTAAATGCGCAATTACTCATTTGTGTGACATTCATTGGAAGTTCAACCAGGGGTTTGTGCCATTAAAACGAAATGGTTCTTCAAACTGCTGTTAGGGACGACTTAAAGCATTCTAACATTCACTTTGATGACATAAATACATGACAAATATAACACGGTGTCTCCGGCTTTAATTGTATGAACACACAAACTAAAAATGTTATGTATATAATTACAGGTATACTTAAAATTACTCAGACACATACAACGATTCGATATCTTTGCTATACAATGTATCTAGCGTGCTCTGTTAGCCTCTCTACATTACTCTCTCAAGTAAACTAATTAGTCTTATATGCTAATTGAGTACCTTTAAATGGCAATTACGCCTTTGTGTGATGTTCATTGCTAATTCAACCAGGGCCTTGTGCCATTAAATGAAATGGTTCTACAAATGGTTCACTGCGACGATGGATACGTTTCTAACCTTCACTTTAATTACAGACATATATGACAAAAAAAGCATGATGTCTCCCGCGTTAATTAGATGAACACACAAGCCTCTTAACATCTCGTAATGATCATTATTTTTACATTTTACCAGTATTAAACATCAGCCTCTAAAGTTCTCTTAATCTACTTGATGCATACATATACCACATTACATAGATTTGATATGGTTAATGTTATTTCAGACATTCCTGTTGGAAACCAAGCAATTTTTATGTATTTATCTCGAGAGGTTGGTAAATTAAACGGTGTCTATCATGAAGGCAACATTGCGATTTCTTTTATTCTTGGAACATTCAAATACCTAGATGTAAACAAATTTCTATGAGCTGGTGTCTATACAGGTACACGCATGTACGTGTTTACATGTACTTCTAATACTTATGTAACTGTCACTACATTTTCAAATCTTCAAAATATTAGGGATTTGTGTCATTAAAATAAAATGGTTCTACAAACTGCTATTAGGGACGACGTGAAATTTTCTAACCTACACTTTAATTAAAGACATAAAGAAAACGCATGATGTCTCCCGCGTTAATTAGATGAACATACAAACTACAACAGTTCTGTACTTACTATAAAAAATACACAAACTACACAGTTCTTTATGCTTCCCGTTAAGATTATTTTTTTTTTTTTTTGTATTTTACCAGTACTAAACATCAATGACCAAGGGCCCTTTATCTACTTGAAACATACATATACCGCATTGCATATACAACATTGGTCAAAAAAGGTTGTCCCACCCCTATTTCCATGTACTTATATTTTCAAATTATCACCTCACAGATGTAAATTGTTAAAAACGGTGCTTTTTATTCCAGATACCACGTCTAACATGATTAATGGTTCAAAAAATACAAAATAGTGGCGAAAATATGTACATTTTATACCATATAGTCAAATTTATAACATGTACCCCCTCAAATCCAATGTTTCACTGGGATTTCCACAGATGTAAGGAAATATCTATTAAATTAAAAAGACGTCATCAAATGTCACCAAATTTACACACAATTAGCATTAGGATGTGCTCGTTAAAGGTCACGTGCCTAATAGCGTGTATGTCTACCATGTGCTGCAATTATCTCCTGTAGGCGGCGCGACAAGCCTTCAACAACGGTTATAATTCTGTTTTTTGGGATATTGTCCCATTCATCCTAAAGAGCGTGGCGGAATTGGCCCAGATAATTTGGGAATTGGTTCTCCTCTGCAATGCACATTCCAATTAATGCCACAGGTGCTCAGTAGTATTAATATCAGGGCTCAAAGACGGTTGTCCCATCCTCAGAACCTTGTGTTTCTGCAACAAATCGGTTGCCAGACGAGAGCTGTGAGCACGTGCGTTGTCACAATGAAGCCGGTGGCATCCCTGAAGTCAGCTCTTGCAAATGGAGTGAGATATCTGTTGAGAATGTTACAGTAAAATGCCCCAGTTACGTTTTGTTCCAAAGGGAACAATGTACTAATAATGGAATTTTTCTCCAAATGCGGACTGATCTAACACCTCAGGCGTTATTAGCCTGCACACACCCTTCCAAGAGGTATTTTTCACCATGTATACAGACCCTCATTTGACCATTGATGGGATACAAGAAATAACTTGATTCTGCATCAAAGCCGACTTCCTTCCAGTGATGGATGTCCAGCTTCAGGTGTCTGTGGGATTACTGAACGTAGCATTCTCAGCTGATATCTCACTCCATCTTCAAGGACTGACTTTGGGGTTAACTCCAGGCTTCATCATGACTGCACACTTGCTCACAAATCTCGCCTGGCAAGTTTTTTGTTGTAGTAACACAATGCTCTAAGGATGAAACCACCATCTTTGAGCCCTGATATTAACCTTACTAATCAACTGTGGCATGAATTGGAGTGTGTAATGCAGAGGAGAACCAACCCCATAAAAACGTGGACCAACTTCCCCAATCTGTTTAAGAAGAATGGGACATCATCATCATCATTTCATCATTTAGAGCCTATAGTGTTCCACTGTTGGACAAAGGCCTCAGCATGCTTTTTCCATTGTTTCCTATCCTGAGCCTCAGATTTCCAGTTTGGCCAAGGTTTCTTCTTCCAAGACTTCCAGTAGTCGTCTAATTCATCCCTCCATCGTTTGACCGGCCTTCCTCTTTTTCTTTGTCCATACCTTGGGGTCCATTCTGTAAGCCTGATTGTCCACCTATTGTCCTTCATTCTTTTGACATGTCCTGCCCACCTCCATTTCATTTCTTTAACTGTGAGCAGTACGTCCTTAACTTTGGTCTGTTCACGTAACCATACATTCGTTTTCCGCTCTCTTGGATTGATGTTCAACATAATTCTTTCCATCTTTCTCTGAGCTACTTGTAGCTTGTGTTCCATGGAGGCATTCAGTGCCCAGGTCTCTGAACCATAGGTGATTGCCGGCAGCACACAAGCATTGAACACTTTCTTTTTCAGGCAGGTAGGAAGGTTGCTCTTGAAGATGTCATTGTGTTTCCCATATGCTGCCCATCCTGCTTTTATCCTTCGTTGGATTTCTTTCTCCAGTGTTCGATCATTAAGGCTGAACCGTTGCCCAAGGTATATATACTCTTCTACTGCTTCTATCTCTTTGGTGTTGACCTTCACTGTGCAAGGGGGTGGTTAGTGGAATGGGACAATATCCCACAAAACAGAATTGTTACCTGTGTTGAAGGCTTGTCGCGCCGTCTACAGGAGATAATTGCAGTACGCGGCAGACGCACACATTATTATGCACCTGGCCTTTAACGAGCACACCCTAACGCTAATTGTGTGTGAGTTTGGTGACATTTGATGGCCTCTTTTTGATTCAATTGACATTTCTTTACATCTGTAGAAATCACAGTGAAACATTGGGTTTGAGGGGGTACCCCTTATAAATTTTACTAAATGGTATAAAATGTGTATATTTTCACCATTATTTTGTATTTTTTAACCATTTATCATGTTGAACACGGTATCTGGAATGAAAAAGCACTATTTCTAACAATTTTCAGCTGTCTGGTGGTCATTTGTAAATAAAAGTACATGGAAATGGGGGTGGGACAACCTTTTTGACCAATGTTGTATTTGGGGTCATTCAGACCTAAATATGGGGCAATTACATGAAAGGAAGACCGCTTAATCCTGTAATGGTCTCTCAGCTCGCATACGCCTCCCCACACGTCGCCCTCGGCCGGTCGTATTGAGAAGATATTTAATTACTGTGCCCCTGCAGGGACGACGTGTGGGGAGGCGTGAAAGAGGAGTTAGTAAGGCAAACAGCTGTCCGTGAGACATATAACCAGGAGCAGTTCTACCAATTGTGAAAATTAAATGAAAATGTATAATTACCACGCCGAGTTTTCATTATTATCGTTCTATAAATGAAAATATCCTAACTGTTGGTGAAATTGAATTTTTCTAAACAGTCTGTAGTCAACTGTAAGCTGGGGAAAGTAATGTAAACACACTTTGCGGTTTTCGTGATTTGCATTGTTTCGCCATTTACAGATTTTATTGCAGCTATTTCGCAATAGTAAAAAAAAACTGACATGGTTGACTAATAAGTGATAAAGATTCGACCACACACTAAAGACCTAATAAAGTTTGATTCTATATTACTTGATGTAATAGAATGTAACGGTTCTCATACGTACCCAGAGTGGGTCACTTTCCAGGCTGTACTTATACCAGAGAAATATTGGTAGTTCAATAAAGGTGAACAAACACCCGACACCAACTTATTCAAAAACGTGTGAACATTGCAGCTTTGGGTGCGGTCATTTTGGAAGAAGAATGTAACTTCAGAGAATACACAGTAAAGTCGATACTCAAACATTCTTTTGGCTACAGAATGTATCTCAAACATATACTGTATTGTCCTGTCAAATTTATTAGTATATAAATCAACTGGTCATTGTATAAAAATGTGTACATTTTACCTGTATCTATGCCTTCTTCTCCCGCCTTTTTTTCTTACAGCCTACACCGCTCCCTTTTTGAAAACGAGAATGAATCTTATATTTTCCTAAATAACCGTCA